CATCATAGAATTTCAATATACAAATATATATATATATATTTTACTAATGATAGAAAATTCCATTTTGCTTAATTTGAATTATTTTATATTATTAAAAGCATTTTTATTACCCTGTAAAATATAATTGGAATTTCAATTACAAGAAATTGGGCTTCTTTCTTATTCAACTTTCAATTTAAAAGTAAACATTATCGATATTAATTAATTGTGGAAACATTTTACATATTTTATTATTATAATAAAACTTTCATCATCAATGGATTATTAATTTAATGATAAACAATACACATTTTTAATTCAAGATGATTGTTTGTAAAATATTTTTTCTGTTTGGATCTTTTGAATTTTAATTTAAAATTAAAAATTTCAATGATAAGATTATAATTCTCTATAGAAAAAATCTATATAAACAATGAAACATTATGTTTTTTTTAATTTTAAATCCTTACGAGGAATACAAGTAAAATATATATGTTATTAATACCTAACTACTTTGTAATTTTAATCGTCCCTCCTCATTTAAAATGCTAAAGCATTTGCAACAGCATTACTTCATTACGAGATTAATGGTATACGTGTTTATACATACTTGAAAAAATGCAATCTACAATAAAATCATGCAATAAAATTTTCTTCGTGAAAATTACTTTTGGAGATAAATAAATTTTTTAAAATTAAAATAATCTCCTATTCAAAATGATTCCTCGAAGCGATGTTCATTTAAAAATTTCAAAACATTCCTCGTCATTTAACGTCATTATCGATCATTATTATTTTATAAACAAAATAAATTCTATTCGAAATATATCTAAAAGTTCAAATAGGTCACTATAGCCGATCTAGACACAAATGTATCTTTTATCTTTTACATGCACACACACATATATCGTCATCCCTCGACACTTTATCACATATTATTATTATATCACAATCCAATTTCGATTGAACCAACAATGAACTACTTTCTAATCTAATCTTCGTCCTTTTTTCTTCCTCCCTCCCTCCCNTGATTCAATGCTGATCCAACTTTCCTTCCGGGATCGTCGTCGTGTCTTATTCGCGTGTTAAAACGTCACCTTTTCTGCTCGTCTTTGTCGCTCGTTTAGTCCCAGGCATGCGTGAACCGACTCAACATGCAGGTTAGTTGCTGTTTCCTCTCGATGTATCTTCTTTATTCTCTTATTCTTTTCTTTCCCCCCTCCTTTCTCTCTCTCTCTGTCCTTTTTTTCTTTCTTCCTTTCTTTCTTCGAGCGCGTTGCGCAGCGGGCGAGGCGAAAATTATGTAACCGTGCGCGGATTTCTTCATCGCAACACCGCGACTCGTTGTAATTACATTTCCACCGTGAGAGATATCAGTTTCTGGCCAGCGAGCAAATTGTTGCTGCGCGGCCGAACCTCGTTAGCGCAATATATTCTAACGACAATGTTTGTAACGTGTAACACGTCGGTATGCGATACGTGTGTAACATTTTCTTCTACAGGATGTTTGATATAATTGTGGTCGATCTTTCGAGAAATCGATTATAAAGATCGAGGAAAAATTTTCGATCGAGTTGCGAGTTGTTACGAGCAACTGAAGTTAGCGTCGAATAAAAGCGAGATGAAGATAGAGTGAGATGGTGATGGTGACCTAGATAGAGTGAGACAGGGATACGTGAAGAGTGAATCTAAAAAATTTATAAATTAATAAATAAGTCTTAATTAATAATTTTGTCATATCGATTTTTATGTTTGTTATGAAATTGATTTTCTAAAATTGTCTTATATATATATATATATATGTATTTTACATATTTTAAGAAGATGTTTGGAACGAATTTAAAATTATATTAGTTTCAATATTTTTTATCAAGATTTCCTTTCTTTTTTTATTTATTTAGAAAATGAAAGGATCTGTAAATTGTAGACATCATCTCTTTAGTTAAAATTTTTTGCTTGTTATTTATTTTTTTTTTTAAATCACAAAGTGTTTTTTGAGGTTATTATTAATGTTCTTATTAACTCGTGACAAGAATTTAACATTGTATTCGATCGATTTTAGTATAAAGTTAAATTTTTATATTATCTTTCTTCATCAAATATTCATAAAAATATCTATAACTTTGCATCACATAATAATTTCCTACAAATTGCTTATTACTCGATTACTTTATTATGTAAATTTTACATGTATAGTATTTCTCCATATATTTAAAAAGAATTACACCACATAAAACTTATTACACAAACTATAAAAATGACTTCACCTTTATCTATATCATTTTTAGTATGTCTCTTCGTAATTTATATGTTAATGAGTCTATAGTATCATTGGAAAACTGTTGTGTGTTATTATCTGAAATATCTATCTCTTAAAAACGTGTCATTTATGTGATACATTTATATTCATTATGTCTAAAAATATTTCGAAAATAAGTAACAGTGTGAAGTACTTATTTTTGGGATTCGATTTTTGATTTTTGATCAAAAATTCATAAACAATTCTCTTCAAAATAGAAAAATATATTTTACACGTATTAAATATTAAATGTATAAAATTTCTAAAAATATAATATCTTATATCTTAATTTCTTTTTTAAATTATTTTTCTTTTCTTTCCACTTACATTATATTTCCAACACAATTAATAAAAATAATTATCCTTTACGAGTTCAATTCTTCAATTTATCGATTCATTCATTCACAACAATTTTTCCGGTTTCATGTTTCAGCGATGTGACGCAGCCCGCCAGGAATATTTTCACGCAAAATGATTCGTGCCCTTGTCCTTCTCTGCATGGTCGTTCTACCTCTTGTACGATGCCACAAGGTAAGAGTATTGTCGAGTACCATCGGGATAAACAAGGACAATGTTTTATTCCGTGCAAATGTTTCCTTAAAACAAAGAACACGTGTATACGTTGGTCGTGGCGTTGACTCGAAATGACAAGATTATTCGCGGAATCGGACAAAGTTAATTGTCGATCCAACGCTGATTACAAGACCAATTCACGCTGCGTAAACATTGGCTTCCGTTGCAAACGTTAGGTGTTTCCTCAATAGAAGAAAGAAAAGATAATTACACTCCTATTTATGTTTATCATTTTACGTTATTAATAGAACTTCTTTGCATAATTCTTTGCATAATAATATTTTAATAATATTACTAGTGGTAATAATAATCATATTTATGGTTTTACAATGTTATCTACGGAGATCTCTTATATAATTTGATTTTTTTAATATTATCAGTGAATTTTAATACTAAAATAAAATATATATAAATATTATAATTTTAATATTGGTAAATTTTCGAAGTTGAAAATTCCAGATTTGTAATATTAACAAATTTTAATTTAAAAAAAATAATAATTTTAATTCTATCTATTTAATTATCATTTCATGATATTATCGACGGAGTTTCCTTACATAATTCGATTATTTTTAATATCTTTAATGAATTATAATATTAAATACAATGATATAATAATATTAGAAAAATCAAAAATTGCAATTTTCTAATATTAGTAAATTTTTTATAAAAAAAAATAAAATCGCTATATATTCTATTTATGCTTAATTTTGCAAAAGAATCTATTCAAAATAAAGATCGATAAACTTATTTTACCTATCTAAAATATTAATCGTTGAACATTTGCGTAACAATTTGTATTTTTCAATGGACCGTGAAATATTCCATTGCTGAAATAATTAATTCGTGAAGGAATTAGCGTTTTATTTCGTTTTTTTTTTTTTCTTCATCTTTTCTCCTTCAATTGAATTTAATATACAATTTCATAATGAATAATTAAGAAAACATGTTTCGTGGAAATGCTTGAACAGATGGTATCCCTTTCTCTCTCTCTCTCTCTCTCTCTCTCTCTCTCTCT